GGTTAAGTACTTGTACCAGCCAGGAGAATACAAGGGAGACAGCAGAAAACGCACAACCGATCCGATATGGTCCATGAAAACGTACAACGTAGACCTTGTCGATATCAAAGATGGTGAACCGAACTTGTACTACTTGAAAGACGGACCGCCGAGAGCATTCGTCAGAGAGGAGTTGATGATCATACCTCACGACACAGTCCCTTACACATCACCCACCGTGTGATGATAGTTTCTCGTCATAATTTTTTATCAGTCTTGCATGCCTATTTTTCTGCTTAATGTAGCCAGCCAGTCAACCACGCGTACACCAAGCCGAGAGAGATACACCCACACGCACTACGACTCGTCCGCCCACAGCGCTCGGTGGAGCAACCACCCCCGAGGCGACCCGAGTCTTTTTTCCCGACCCACCCCATGCTCACTTAAAAGTCAATATTTCAGAAACTATTCGACCGATTTTCATCAAATTTTGCATGCAACTCAGTAGTAGTATACATAATGGGGTACGGGATTAGGGACTCCTCAAGGGCTCATTTTTTAATTGAGCCCTTGGGAGGACCTGGTCCCGTACCCCCATTGTGTATACTACTACAGTGTCCTGACACCGTTAATCAACAAATGGATTGAACCTGCTCCGTGGTATATGGTGGAAATCTGCGCAACACATGCAACATCTGTTTCAGCACAACCGTTTGATTTGGTCTGGAAATCTATTCTAACGATTGTCACACCACTAGTCGACACGCATGGGTGGTCACTCCTGTCGCTGTTGTTCCAGGCAAACGCCACAGACAGGTGATTACAAATCCATATCTGACAAGCAGTCCGTTTTAGATAGGGAGGGGTTGGGGGTTGGGGTTGGGGTTGGGGTTTGTGGTGGGGGTGAGTGGGACAGTGAGTGGAGGATAGGTGTTTCAATTGGTGAGTTTTATTTACCGCCTTTTTAACGGTATTTTTTTATATCGCGGCGTGTCATCGTGATGTGCAAAGTCCCAAATGATGCATTTGCTGCATGTCATGTTTTCTACTTTGGTCAAACCAATGAGCACAGCTACGTCTGGTAAAACGTCTATTACGATCTGGCGTTTATAACTGTTTCGTCCCCGGCCACTTGCTGTTAATAGGTCAAAATGCATAGAAGACCTCTTCAGAGCGACTGTGTTACGAAACCGTGGTCAAAGTACACTTCAAATTGCACTTGAGCTTCACAGAGCTACACAGATGGAACCCACATACCTAGACTAATGCTTAGTCTCTGAATATATAAAATTTTGATAGTAACAAACAAGCCCATTTAAATTGAAAAGGAGCCCCAGGGAGACCAGAGATTGTGAACCTGAGGCAATCTAGACTTGCTTTATTTAGGGCTTTAGCACTGCAGAGAGAGCATGGCAGTAGAGGAAATAACGTGGTTCAGGGACTGTGAGACATGCTACCACATGCCCCACGTCCACTAGTAGTCCCACAATTGACGGACCGTCACAATGCTGCAAGACGTGGCTGGCACCAAGAGCAGCGGCGCAGGGCAGAACGTCATTGGGCAAACGTTATGCTATCGTATGAATCAAGGTTTACTTTGGGCTTTTTGACAATCGCAACAGAGTGTGACGTGACGTTCAACGACAAATGCAAACCTCAGTCAAAGACCGGTGTTACACAAAGACTTCCGCCCATATCCACCCTTAAATTTCATTCTCGTCCATATCACCTGAATATATATTCCTCATCTGATAATTATAGGGTGAGTTTGAACGTGTTTCTTTAATTGTATCTGAACATATTGTAAGACATATCCAACTTCTAAAAATATCACTCAAAGAACTTTTCCCTCATCGTTAAAATTTAGGGGGGATACGGGCGGAAGTCTTACCAGCAGAGCAACAGTTTCAGTTCGCTATGAATGTCTAGACAGGCGTTGTGTAATCTCTGCCTACTGACAGGGATTTTCAGCACATACATGTATTTCAATACTGCTGCATTTCATTTGGCAGACCTACTTTCATTTGGCAGACCTACTTTCGAATAAAGAGTGATTTAAAAACACAAACACCTCTCAATGTTTCACAATACACATGATAGCAGAATTTCGTGATTTAACTTTAGTTGTCAATAATTTGAATAAATGAATCTACAGATCCGTAGTTTTCGATCAATTTCATCTGTCAGTTTACTCTCTGCAAAATACCTTCCGTGACTATTTACAGATATTCAAGACGGTGTATAGAGTTTAAACATTATTACTGCTGACAACTGTGATATAAACTTTGTTTAGTGTCTTATTTCTAGCAAAGATGGCCCAGTCGACTATGGCGCCACAATTCGCTGTACGGAGTTGTGTAACCTAACAAGAGCAGGAGCCAACCATGTATGATCGAGTGTTCGAATCCCGTCTCGCCTCGATGTCGCGGTTAGGTTTGGTTTCCACAAAGTGGATAACTTCTTTGACTCTCGTCACTTTCCTGCCTCATGAAGCTGACATGTCGCCACTGAATTGGAATCACTCACTTATTCTTTAATGCGGCAAAGATATACTTTAGTTATAGAATAGTTTCAAAGCTTTCGCTTGGTAAATATACAGCCTGTCGAAGGTCGACATACGATGCATGTATAGGCCTACTATTCTAAAAGTAAATAAGACTCGATAAATAACATACAACTAAATAAGACTTGATAAGATAACATACAACTTGGAAGGTGTATGTATAACACGGTATTTCAAAGTGTCATCAACTAATTTTCATTTCATCAACGGCAAGAATAAAATCTTGGAAGGTGTTCGGCAACAACTAATTGTTCATTTCAGTCAAGAGTTCGACAACAACTAATTGTTCATTTCAGTCAAGAGTTCGGCAACAACTAATTGTTCATTTCAGTCAAGAGTTCGGCAACAACTAACAGTTCATATTAGTCAAGAGTTCGGCAACAACTAATTGTTCATTTCAGTCAAGAGTTCGGCAACAACTAATTGTTCATTTCAGTCAAGAGTTCGGCAACAACTAATTGTTCATTTCAGTCAAGAGTTCGGCAACAACTAATTGTTCATTTCAGTCAAGAGTTCGGCAACAACTAATTGTTCATTTCAGTCAAGAGTTCGGCAACAACTAATTGTTCATTTCAGTCAAGAGTTCGGCAACAACTAATTGATCAGTCAAATTCATATGCCTGCAGATCGCATTCGAAGGAAAACGTATGAAATTCTGATGCAAATAGACAGTTGTGGTTATAATATTTATGTGTCGAATGTAAATTTTCATTGTTTTCATAGGGTTTTGGGATTGCGTGGTTGTCGCATTCACAACAGCAAGCGAATGTTGTCTCACTGCCAGTCTTAACACCCGTAAACACTGCCTAGGGTAACTTGCGCCATTGCTGTACCAACACGGTGCCCAATATTCTCTTGACATCTCAAGGCTCGAAGACTTCATCCAAGAGCACCCCATACATGTTCGATGAGATCGAAGTCAGATGATCTCGATGGCCTCTCCATGACGTCAATACCTGCATTTTTCAGGAACAAAAGCTGTATTTGGTGTTGCTCTGTTACGATGGAATTGGAGACCTGGACCATGAGCAGCGATGCACGGTTCCAGTTTTGGGACAAGTACCTGGTCACGAAATCCATACCCGTGAAGGTCCGGGTTAGAATTGGTCTTCAGAAACCCATGCTTGTAGTAAGAGGCGACTAACGGGATCGGGTGGCCAGGCTCGCAGACTTGGTTGACACATGTCATAGGTTCCAATATTGCGAAGATTGTTGCCAATGCTGTTGATCACTGGATTGTCTGGTCCAGATTCGATTATTTACAGACCGCCGCCATATAGTTGGAATAAAACTAAACTCACTCACTCACGCACTCACGATATCCCGCTGCATTGAGGTTCCTGGGAATTACGAGAACACGTTACGAGAACACGTTCCCACAAAACCATCACGCTACCGCAACGAAATGGATCAACTTCGTGTACGCAGCACTGGGGTAACGTTCACCGCAACGCTCGTACTCTTCCTTCGGCAAATCAGAGCGTGAAACTTGATTCGTCGCTTAACACAACTCTATTCCATTCTCTCTGGTTCCAGCACAGTTGCAGTTGACCCATTACAGTTTACCTGTGTCAGAATCGGCAGAACATGAGGACGTCAGGCACGATTGTGGGCAGCGCACAATGATTTTGTATGATCTGGGCAGCTACGCGACCCGTTCAGTCCGCTACAGGTTGACGCTGTAAAACGACATAGACTGACCAACCTGGAGCATGTCAATCATGTTTAACATTTGTAAGGCGTGGCATGAGAGTTGAGAATCTCTCAAGGATTGTTAACGTGTTCTGGACACAAGCTGGTAGTTAGGCATATGAAATTGTGGTCGTTTTCCCAAAGAGGGTGTTGCCGCATGGCTTACCACAGTTGAAATGGGAGGAAGCGTCAGGTAACACCTTGACATCATAGTATTCGCTCATCTACACTACCCTGTCAATATACAGCATTTCTCAAAGTTTCCTTTTACTACAGCATATGGTTTCCAAGCATAGTCAATATAATGTACAGAAACTATAAACCTAAAGATATTTTTATATCTTACAAGGCTGAGAGCATGATTGCTAAAATTGAAAATATACAAATGAAGATTGGATGGCTTGGTATTGATTGCACCAACGAGTATGTGGTGGTGGGGTAGTCTTCTGGTTAAAGAGTTCGCTTGTCACGCCGAAGACCCGGGTTCGGTTCCCCACATGGGTACAATGCGTGGAGCCCATTTCTGGTTTCCCCGCCGTGATATTGCTGGAATATTGCTAAAAGTGGCGTGAAACTAATATCACTCGCTCTCTCACCCATCAACGAATATGTCCGACATGTTCTTTAAATGTAGAAGACGAATACCATTTTGAGTTAATGTGCTATTCATACAGTCATACCAGATATTGTATTATCACCAATGTCTTCTGTAACAACCCATATATGTACAATTATATTGTTCCAGGTTGGTTTGTTGTCAACTTACCAAATGTGGATCTCCACTGTAAGAACAGGACACAGACCAGGCAGAGCAGTCTCATGATGGCAAGGGCTTGTTTGGATATGGCTACTAGAGTAACAGACCTCAGGGGCGGGGCGAAACTGTGCCTCTATATTGACACAAGGGGTCGATACTGGTCACGTGGTTAGGAGAACATGTATACGTTACAACCTTCAGCACAGCTGAGATTCATCACAACTAAAATTAACTGCAAAACAATTGATATAGACATTCAAACAATAATCTATAAGCATTCCACGTTTGGAAAGATTCTGAACAGCTGGTAGGAAACACTCCCATCAGTGATGGACTAATTTACTGTAGAATACTGATGTACAGTAGAATACGGTTATAAAGAACTGAAAGGGATCGCTCATTATAGTTTGCTATAGCCGAAGTTCGTTACAAGCATAAGAAAGGGGGGCGTATCCATCACCACCGATGGCGCCCATCAGAAACACATACAAAAGGAAGACAATTGAACACCTAAAGAACATGAAAACAAAACATATGCTAAGTTAAATAGCATATTGTATCAAACAGCGTTCTGTTTCTGCTTAATCCGGAGAAACCCTCAACATGTCTACCATACTACTGCACTACGGGACCGTTATGTCCTGATCCAAGAGCCGCATCAGACTTTTAAAAATGACGGTTCGTAGAGACTGAATACCTCGATTGAAGGTGTGAATGATGGACTTCAAACGACAGAGCTAGTGGGCTACTGCTCGACATGGAGGGACAACGGGCTGGTGAACATATCCTGTCATACATCATGGTGGACATCTGTTTCGTGTCTCTGAATCTAATACACAGATCTCATCTCTGTGATAGTTGTGTTTCTAGTGGACGTGGGTAAATCAAGGGAAGGGAACTGGCAGTCCGGCCGTTATTGAAAGATGACGTCATCAATCACTAGAAAATCAAGTTAAATGTTTTAGCCAAATGCGCCGATTTCTCCAAGCAAGGAAGGAGGTAGTTTGGTGCCCACGCCTACTTCTACCCAAACACAGGTCTTACTATAGGTCTGAACAAGAAGTGGTCTCAAGAAAGGACGAAGGTCTAATGTTACCACTGATCAGGAAGATTTGTTGAAAGTCCTTCTGAACCACTTGGGACTGCACAAAGTGAAATACATTATACCACTCCTGCAACTTCTGCTGATGTATCGGTCGGCCAACTTAAGGTGCCCGCAGTATCGACTACAGTGTTTAGCTTTGAAACGTTTAGTCAAACCATGTATAGATTCCACATTCGAGAAATAACGCTTGCTTGTGAATTTGAATAGAAGACTAGGGACATGAAAAGGACGAAAGTCTTGGAATTGGAATAACCCATTCTGTCCCTGTAAGTTGTAATTGGAAGTCTGGCAGACTCACGCGACAGATTGTAGTTGTTCCCACTGACAAGGTCTCAAATAACAGAATCATTATGTCAGCACGTTAATTGATTGATTGAAGAACTTGACTCGAAATTAATTACGTTTCATGACAGATATTATGACGTCATTACATGTCCGCCCCAAATCTGTATAGATATCGGACACATTTCGGTGCAAAACAGTCAGTTCGACGTCGACTTTTGTCAATAATTCGGGATTCATCACTGAAGTCCACGCCAGGTTCGTACAGTCCATACGTGTACAATGCCGCGCCATCGCCTACGTTGTCTCACTGAGGACACAAACACTGGTTCTCTGAGCCTCATTACCACCTCTCACAGACGATTCCTGGTTGTTCGGCCCGTTACCTTCATCAAAGAGTCTCGGCGGCAAAAGCATACCGATGACGTAGATGAAAGACCTTGTGCGGGGGTGGTACCTCTCGGTCAACCACTTCTGGTACGATCTTTCTTTGAATTGAGACGTGTGTTCGGGATCGCCTTTTCGCAAACATCAGCATCAAACTTGGTAGTTCTAGATCTAGTGGTGTGGGTTCTATTGCATGTGATCTTGGTTACCCCGGCTGGTTGAGTCGCAGTGCTCTCTATAGGGATGGTTTCCAGGTCCCAGTCGTGAACGTTCCCTTCCTCTTCGAGCAATGCCTTATCACCTCCAGTGTTCATAGTCTCAACTCCCAGGCCAGTTTTTAGCATTAAAGACCTGGTTCAGTCATTCCAGATGTTTTACCGTAGGGAATTACTGGATTAAACCTACCTTGCCAACAAGACGCTAACCGGTGCCATGACCTACACATGGTGCTTTCACTCTTCCTTACACTCAGGCAAAACACATCTGTTTGGGTTAACGAAGGTCAAGGTCACTGTAGAGCTTGCCAGACACGTCGGTTCATATGTTTGAAACGTCTCATTATACAACGTGCTCGCTTCTGTTAGCGTTTAGGTCAGCCATACCACGCGGTAGATTTCGTTTCTAAATAAATCACTTACTGCGCACGTGTGTATAACTCTGTCCTGTGAAACAGGGTAAACACATGTCTCTGTTCCCCATCTCCAGGAACGGGATGCTTATTGCATCTTTAACATGTGATAGAAATTAAATTTACAGAGGACATCAACGTGACGTTTACACCAATAGAACATAAACACAGTCCACCAGAAATGGTTTATTGTTATCAGCCTTTGTTTAGTAACTTACGCCAAAGTTAAAAATGGAATAAAACAGATTACCTCAATTGATTGTAGTAGTCAGTTACAGTTTCTAAATGCAGTAAACTGCGCTGTTTCGAGTGATTTTGGAGTCAGATATTGGTATATAATGCATTGTTTAAAAAGGTTTCTAACGAATACTGGAGTATATGTGATAGCAGACTCAGTTGCAGTGTCGACATGCAATATGATGTATTAGCTCCACTGATGTGAGTAAAACCGTTCACACCAGTGCAGGATCTATAGTATTACAATACATAGACTCCATATGTTCTGCTGTGAAAATATGCCTGGTGCGTTTGCTTGTCGAGCTTTTACACCACCAGATTGCAGTGTCTATGTAAGTGTTGAGCTCTACAGTACCACATTGTACAGTGTATAAAGGTGTTGAGCTTTACAGTACCACATTCTAGAGCGTATAGAAGTGTTCAGCTTTACAGTACCACATTGTAGAGTGTATAGAAGTGTTGAGCTTTACAGTACCACATTGTAGAGTGTATAGAAGTGTTGAGCTTTACAGTACCACATTGTAGAGTGTATAGAAGTGTTGAGCTTTACAGTACCACATTGTAGAGTGTATAGAAGTGTTGAGCTTTACAGTACCACATTGTAGAGTGTATAGAAGTGTTGAGCTTTACAGTACCACATTCTAGAGTGTATAGAAGTGTTGAGCTTTACAGTACCACATTGTAGAGTGTATAGAAGTGTTCAGCTTTACAGTACCACATTGTAGAGTGTATAGAAGTGTTGAGCTTTACAGTACCACATTGTAGAGTGTATAGAAGTGTTGAGCTTTACAGTACCACATTGTAGAGTGTATAGAAGTGTTGAGCTTTGACTTTACAGTACCACATTGTAGAGTGTATAGAAGTGTTGAGCTTTACAGTACCACATTGTAGAGTGTATAGAAGTGTTGAGCTTTACAGTACCACATTGTAGAGTGTATAGAAGTGTTGAGCTTTACAGTACCACATTGTAGAGTGTATAGAAGTGTTGAGCTTTACAGTACCACATTGTAGAGTGTATAGAAGTGTTGAGCTTTACAGTACCACATTGTAGAGTGTATAGAAGTGTTGAGCTTTACAGTACCACATTGTAGAGTGTATAGAAGTGTTGAGCTTTACAGTACCACATTGTAGAGTGTATAGAAGTGTTGAGCTTTACAGTACCACATTGTAGAGTGTATAGAAGTGTTGAGCTTTACAGTACCACATTGTAGAGTGTATAGAAGTGTTGAGCTTTACAGTACCACATTGTAGAGTGTATAGAGTGTTGAGCTGTATTGTAGAGTGTATAGAAGTGTTGAGCTTTACAGTACCACATTGTAGAGTGTATAGAAGTGTTGAGCTTTACAGTACCACATTGTAGAGTGTATAGAAGTGTTGAGCTTTACAGTACCACATTGTAGAGTGTATAGAAGTGTTGAGCTTTACAGTACCACATTGTAGAGTGTATAGAAGTGTTGAGCTTTACAGTACCACATTGTAGAGTGTATAGAAGTGTTGAGCTTTACAGTACCACATTGTAGAGTGTATAGAAGTGTTGAGCTTTACAGTACCACATTGTAGAGTGTATAGAAGTGTTGAGCTTTACAGTACCACATTGTAGAGTGTATAGAAGTGTTGAGCTTTACAGTACCACATTGTAGAGTGTATAGAAGTGTTGAGCTTTACAGTACCACATTGTAGAGTGTATAGAAGTGTTGAGCTTTACAGTACCACATTGTAGAGTGTATAGAAGTGTTGAGCTTTACAGTACCACATTGTAGAGTGTATAGAAGTGTTGAGCTTTACAGTACCACATTGTAGAGTGTATAGAAGTGTTGAGCTTTACAGTACCACATTGTAGAGTAGAGTGTATAGAAGTGTTGAGCTTTACAGTACCACATTGTAGAGTGTATAGAAGTGTTGAGCCACATTGTAGAGCAGCTACCACACATTGTACAGTGTATAGAAGTGTTGAGCTTTTACAGTACCACATTGTAGAGTGTATAGAAGTGTTGAGCTTTACAGTACCACATTGTAGAGTGTATAGAAGTGTTGAGCTTTACAGTACCACATTGTAGAGTGTATAGAAGTGTTGAGCTTTACAGTACCACATTGTAGAGTGTATAGAAGTGTTGAGCTTTACAGTACCACATTGTACAGTGTATAGAAGTGTTGAGCTTTACAGTACCACATTGTAGAGTGTATAGAAGTGTTGAGCTTTACAGTACCACATTGTACAGTGTATAGAAGTGTTGAGCTTTACAGTACCACATTGTAGAGTGTATAGAAGTGTTGAGCTTTACAGTACCACATTGTACAGTGTATAGAAGTGTTGAGCTTTACAGTACCACATTGTAGAGTGTATAGAAGTGTTGAGCTTTACAGTACCACATTGTAGAGCGTATAGAAGTGTTCAGCTATACAGTACCACATTGTAGAGTGTATAGAAGTGTTGAGCTTTACAGTACCACATTGTAGAGCGTATAGTATAGAAGTGTTGAGCTTT